GTTCACATTTGTACAAGTAAAGAAAATGCTGGCAGCATAGAACAAGTAATGAGATCTCAAGACTTAACTACGTCAAAGCATGAAAGCTGGCACCCAACAGTAAGGATATATATTATCTTCAGCAGATTATCTATACTAGTCATCCACAAGCATTTGCAAGAAGTCATAATATCAACAGCAGCTGGACTAAGAAAGAGTCAAAAGCTTGGGCAAAAACCTGTGTGGAGATTAAAACTCACTTCAGTATTAAGTCTGAAAGACTACCTCTATTTTTTTTTTTTTTTTTTAAATCATTTCACCCCAAGCAAGGTAGAAATGCCACGAGTATGCAAGGGGAGTGAAAGTGAAAGAGAAGGCTGAGAATAGGGAGAATTGAAAAAAGTACCCAAGATGAACGGGATTCAAGAAGACAGAAGATGGCGATTGATTTTACATTTTAATCTTTGAAGATTGTAGTTATCAGGGAAGCAAATAAACAGAAGGGAGTTCTACAGGTTGGAAGTGGGAGAAAAGTCATCATTGTTTTATAAAGAATAAAATGTTCATGTGTCAAAAAAAAAAAAAAAAACCTTCCTCCAACTTAATCGTAATGTTAATCCTGGGTGTTTAACAAACAGGATTAACAATATGATTTGGGCGAGTTTTGTAAATTTTAGCAAAACTATAGAGAGAGAGAGAGAAAAAAAAAAGAATAGTTATGTACTTCATGTGCTACTAAGTAATTTATAAGAAATTAATGGATTTTATTTTGAAACCGATCGTATTTCTTATTATTCTAATCTTTATTTTTAGTGGATAACCATGTTTGAGTGGACGCCCTGTTTTTTTTTTTTTCTCTCTCTCTCTCTCAATGTTAATTATGTTTAGCAGCCTGCACATTCAAATGACTTAATAAAAAACTGTACTCTGGCAGAGTTCAAACCTGTGTCCCCATGCCAGAGAGCATATTTTCTTTATTAAGTCTGAAATGTGTAGGATGGTAAACATAATTCACACTTTAAAAAAAAAAAAAAAAAAAAAAAAAAAAAAAAAAAAAAAAGGTGTTTACTCAGACATAGGTAGCCTCTAAAAATAACATTTCAAGTAATATTTTTTGCCCATCTAGCAGCCAAAGCATTTTAGAACAGGCAAGAATTCTCTCTCCTGTATTCACACATACACACACACACACACACCTTATATATGTTTATATAATAGTAGCTTGAAGAGAATGTTGGGGGAAAATAAATTCTATTTTTTGTCTTTTTTTTAAAAATTGACACACAAACATTGTATGCTTTTTAAACAATGATGAATGAAATAATTTGAATGCCTAAACAAAGACAGTTTTGCAGACTATTAATACTGGAGTTTGATGTCAGGTCAGGCTTAGGCCTACTACTGGTAACATGTAACCCAGTCCAACCTGCCACATGGATGGGGGATTAGCATCTAAACCAGCTACCCCACTAGCTTTTTTGTTGGTGAGGAGAGTGACATGTCACTCCACAGGATAAAAAAAACAAGACTTGTCAAAGGGTGGATGAGCTTCTTATAGGAGCCAATGAGCAATATATATATATATATATATATATATATATATATATATATATATATATATATATATATATATATATATATAAGTGTAGGACAGGGTCTAAATAATTGAATGACAACCTTCCTAGAGATGGTGTCTCCATCAAAACACTGTATATTTGGACTACCATGAGTGTCTGAGAAGCATGTCAGGAGGAGCATCAAGCCTTGTAAAACATTGTCTCAAATTATTATTATGACAAGTCTCAGTATGTTGACAGGTGTATGTAGAGCAGTAAACAGATCTGCCAAGCAGGACCCACCTTGCTTGTGCAAGATTAATCATGGTCCTGCCTCAACAAAAACACACACACCTATGATGAGGAATATAAACTTTACTGAGTTCCCCATGCTAGTAGCCTTATGCCAGTAGATCAAGTGTAGGTCAACTTGGCACCTGTGATTAAAAACCTATTTTACTTGAAGTCAATGTACTCAATATTCAAACTGCTTGTATTCAACCATATCATGCCATCAGACATCTCAGAAAGGTTTAGCCCACATTGCATTGAACGTTAGACTTCAAATAAAGTCCCATACATAGTGTTTGATAATTAACCTCTTTAGGAAACTGCAATTTTCTATCCATTAACTGCAGGTGACAAGAATTTTTGTCATTGCATTTCTATGACGTCCCCTCTAAAAATAACTTAGAACCAAAATACATTTTCATCAACATTTTTTAAAGTTGTTTGCTAGTAATGAAATCAATTTTAATTAGAACAATATATCTTCAAATTTTCTAAAATATCTTAAACTTTTTTTGTTTGGCCTTTATTGACAATTCAATACCAGGTTGTTGTGTTATGCCACAAAGTTTTATAACCATATATATATATATATATATATATATATATATATATATATATATATATATATACACAGACACACACATAAATGAATAATTTTTTTTCTTCTTCACTGGTAACACAATTGAGTTTCATGCACAATGGAATCATTAAGTGCTGACTGAAAAGGCAAGGTTTTACAAGCAAGGTTGGATGCTTTTGAATCAGCTTCTGATGATCACATTGTGCATAAAACTTGTGCTACCATCATGGAACAAAATGAATATTTATTATTTTAAATTTTACATGTGTTATACATTGAGAACTATTTTATTAACCCTAATGTGCAATACTATATATGTGCTCTGTGGAACCAACTACCAAGAGGAGGCTTCCATGATCACTACAATATTAACCTGTTTAAGTGTAGGGCTAACCATTATCTTCCCCATATATATATCTTACTCTGTGCCTCTTACTCTGTAACCCTCTACCTCGAGTGGCTCTTGAGCCTTGTACAAGTATTTTGAGTTATATTTTATATACTTTTTTGTAACAATTTGAATATTGTGGTTGGTTGAATTTTATTGAATAATTCCTTTAAAGTATTTGCTTGATAATATCTGAATTGGGTTAAGTTCAGGCAATCATATTTTATCTAAACATCTAAGATTAATATTAATGAATATATTTATGTGTGTGAATGTGTGCATTATGCGTGTGGAGAAACCCACAGTTTTCTAACAACAGTGGGATTAGAAATATAGAAAAAAAAAAAAAATCAATGAAAATCTTCACACTGCTAGAAGAGAAAATTGCGATCCAATGAGATGAGGAGGAAAAAAAGAAAATCCTTCTATAAAGTTTGTAAAACTATGGCAAGCCACCATTTCAATTGTGGGAAGATGCTTTAAAAGGGTGGTGGGAGGAGTGTTGAGTTGGTGAATCTTTATTCTACAATCAGTTGATTGCAAGAATTGTATGGTATGAGACCCACATGATCTCACTAACTATATAAATACAAGGTTAGGCCTTAGCAGCCTCTCTATCCCAATTAATTAGCCAAGAAAATATCCAAAACACCCCACCCAACTCACATTACATTTTTTTCCCCCCTGACTATTAAGAGATTCCAGGAGTATCGTTGAAAAAGCGGATTTGATTTTGGTATGGTTTGAAAGTCACTTTCCCAACCAATATCTAAGCTTCAATATTAATCAGCCACAAATGATTTTACAGATTTCTAACAGTTTGGTATGGATAACTTGTAAATATAATAGTCTACCCTATGTTTCACACTTAGAATTGTACAACAGTAAGCTTTTCCATTTTTTTGTGTTACCTGGAACAGGGTAAACAGGCCAGTCAAATGGAAAATGAATAGAGGGGGGGGGGGTCATTTAAAAAGAAAACAAAATTACATATATGACTTAAAGAAAATAACATGAACCAGTTAGGATGTGCTAGAAAAGATCAATGGACATAATGAAAGAGGGATAAAAGAAAAAATTTCATCCCATTCTTAAAAAAAAAAAAAAAAATTCATTTATTCTTTGTTTTGTTTTTTAATTCAAAAATTTATTTCTAAAAATTGTTTTTTTGTCAAACTTGTTTCATGAAACAAATCTGCTGACTCCTACTCTCCTAATGATATAGAAAAAAAAAAAAAAAAAAAATTCACCTTACTTCGTCAAAAGAGAAGTTAAGATGGTGTAGGGGAGACAAAAACAATACAGAATATATGGAGGGACATTCAAACAAAGATAAAATTCTGAAGATGGGGAGAAAGATTGTGTTAATTTTTGTTTTACCTTTCCAGACTATAAAAAAAAAAAAAAAAAAAAAAAAAAAAAAAAATGAACATGAAACAACCCATAATACTAATTGCAATCATTTCCTTTTCACATTCATAAAATTTAGACTCATTTTCTTCTTTTGTTTACTATTGAAGATAGCAAAAGTGAATATGTCTGCTTATTTCTTCCATGTTTGTCATCAGTCTACATTTCCTTTTTATTGTCATTTTCTTAAAAAAAAAAATATGTGTTGATGAAGGAAAGGCTAACAATTATTTGATCTTTGAACATTTCTTCCTCTTTTTAGCAGAAAGTTAAGTCCATCCAATGGGGAAGAGGGAAAGAAAGTGAATGTCCCTTTTAATAAAAGAAAAAAAAAAAAATCAAAAAAAATCTCAAGAGATCTCTTTTTCCTTTTTGGCAGGTATGTACATACATCCACATGCACGCAAGAAAACCTTTCCATACACAAACAAGAAACACATACAGTCACACATAATTATCTATGTATCGCAATGCTTAAATAAAAATAAATTTTTTTTTTTTTCATTAATTTTTGGAAGGTAGGAGTGGGTGGGTGGTATTTAGCCCCATCAAGTTCAACAGCCACAATGGACTGGTCAAATCAGGGGTAGGGGGAGGTGGAGAAAGGTCAACCAATTTTATGCCACAAGTGGTCAACCTATTCGTCACAGGCACCAACAATAAAATCGTCATTAAAAACTCTTTGGAGTTGCAGCAATCAGATCCCAAAAGTCAGTGCAGGACGGATCACCAGTGCTACCCATAATTTGAGGGAACATTTTGTCCTCTGCCCAAGCAGATTTTACAAAGCAATCTACTAGACCACTTCCTCAGCTATTCCCCCCCAGCGAACCTTGTAGCGTCGGTTTCGCCATACTATTGTCCAATCACGGTGGCTTTGTATTGTTAGATAGATGGTCATCACTTCCCGCAACAGCCAGCATACAAGGAACTCAAACTTGGACATTGGGAGGGATTGATTCTGCAAAGAGAAGGATAGAAAGAGAAAAAAAAAATAATAGGCTTGCTTTGAAAATCAACAAAAGAAATGCATTGTGAAATAATAATGCAAGGATTTTAATGCAAGTTAGAATAAAACCAAATATGCTTTCACAGAAAAAAAAAAAAAAAAAAAAAAATGATATTTCATATACACTTTCTTCCCTTAATCCCAAATATTTTATTAACCCTATTGGCCCTTAAGAGATTTCAATTGGTAAATCCTTGGAATCCTGAATGAATTGTTGAAAAATCTGAATGTCCAAGGTTAATGCAATTGATATATTTCAAAAACCATTGGAAGGCATGTATTACAAATTAATTTCTCTTTCCAATTGTAGGGATACAAAAGGCAATTACCTCCCTTTGGTCGCGATAAATCACACAGGTCACATGAGGGTCACTTAATGATTTAAGTGATGAGAGTGGCCAGTTATTCAGTCAGTAAGCTTATTGTTTTGTGTTTGTCCTGCCCGGGTTTTTGCCCAGGGCAGCCAAATGCTACAGCTTACAAGTCCATGGTGCCGTTTCTTTTTGGGAACATATCTGTCTCAAATATAGAAACTTGCTTGCAGTCCTCAATTTGGGAAAACCAGAGACTCATCATTTCCCTTCTGTGGAATATGTACTCGCCTGGGACATAGTAGATGAATCCAGACGGTTTGAATCAGGAGTCCTAAACATGGACTCTCCAAAAGCACGAAAGAATTTCCATATTATATGTAAGATCTATCCTTTTCCTTTCTCTTGACACTCTGCTCATATCTATGCACGATATATTATTCTCTGCATGGGACACATAGCTTTGTGTCTTTGAGGTATAAAAATCTGAGAACAAAGCATGTTTGTCATTCCTTTTCCTTTCAGCCATTCCGTTTCTGTCTGTGAAATACGGTATTGAATAATAATGGGGGAAATTAAATTGGAGAATAAATCTTTCTAACATAGCTCTTTCCTGTCAGATTAAATTTAACTTCCTTGGTATTATTAGTTAGGAGATATGGTTTTTGAAACCAAAAATTTGTAATTTCTAGCACCTGTAGTTGATTATGTAATGGATGTTAACACTGTGTTGAAATACAGTGCTACCCAGTTGAAGATTCATTTGGGTACTTCTGGCCTTACAGTTTAATAAGAAAGAAAAAAAATATTACACTGTGGATTATATCTTATTATAGATGGTGGGTGGCTTCAAAATGGGGTGACTAGTACCCACAAACACATTTTACTTGCATAAATACTCCAGTTTTATTCTAAGCAAGATATATTCTCTGTCCAAAACAAGCTGTTAACAAAAACTCAAATTGGAGTTTGGTTGGTTGGTTATATCTTGTTTAACAGTCTGTCAACCCTAATGGGTCATTTTACACCAACCAGGTGAATACATATATTACATATACACTTTTCTTTTTGCTAATAGTTTGGGAGCTACAATTCATTTTAAATAGATTAATTGGAGTTAATAATTATCAATTAGTTATACAAGTCCCTGGCCAAATCAGGAGTGCATATTACACAATTTTTACCTAGTATTTTTTTTTATACTTATTTCTGTTGTTTCCATCACAAATTGCTGCAATTGTTTAATAAACAGCACAGATCAGAAATAACTAAGCCTCTGGTAAAAAGACATATCTATTAGAGAAACTCAAATCTAACAATATAGGTTTCATTCTGAGGGTTGTAATAAAAAGCAACTGAAATAAATTCTAGTCAAAAAATAATTGAAAATGTTTGATCTTATAAATTCAAAATATTACAAGGAGCATGTAAACAGAAGATGAAAGTGCATTGAGTGTTTGTGGAAAATAAGGAATCAAAAGCTATGTGGTTAGATTTGAGTAATCAATATTCTGAGGTTTAAATAATAAGGCAATTATTTCGAACAGGTGGGCTTCTCAAGGAAAAGGAATACAAATTCCTATCTTACTAGGGGATAATTTTTAAATTTCTAATCCAAACTACTTAATAATGACTGTAGAATTACGGTCTATGAGTTGCAATAAAAAGCAATTGAAATATACTAGTCAATGAGTAATAATGACTAACAACGTATTATACACCAGTGCGTAGCATATACTATTCTACTGCATAGATAATCATGAAAATTTTAAGAAAAAATTAATTTTTTTTTTCTTTTTGCAAAAACAATATAGTGAGCTCAACTGCTCAGAAATGATCAGCAGGTTTTTTTTTGTTTTTATCTTGAAGACACACTGCAACAGATTAATAAAATCTTAATTTAACTAATGGCCAACAATTTTCATTAATATCATGCAAGCATTTCAAAAAAAAAAAAAAAAAAAAAAAAAAAAAAAAAAAAAAAACCAAAAGAAAAAATGAACTTACTTCAACAATTTGCATTAAAATATAGTCGAGAAGAAACCAGACAAGGACATGAAGTAGAAAGAAAGCCATGGGGCTGATATCAAACATATATTCTGCTGCTAGTGAGGCAAGCACCCCAAGCATCATGCATTCTGATAATGGTTCCAGGATGATGAACATTGGAATCATAGATGTACGCAACTGAGACCATCTGCCAAAGAATAAAACATACAGGTAAATAAAGGCCACCAATTTATTTTAACCTTAGAGAAAAGAAAAAGACTTCTTTTAACTTTTAAAAACATGAGCATAAAGAGGTATAGAAAAGCATAAAAAAAGCATTCATTCATTTACAATTTAAAAAGACTTTTTTTTTATTATTCTGAACCCTTTAATCTACACTTGCAAAGCAAGTGAATGGTAACAATCATCAATTACTACATTTATCAGTACAATATCTATACCTTGTAGTTTATGGCAATTTCCTTTTCAGCAAGAACTATGTAGGAAATTGTTGGATGATACATCAATTGTTACTAGAATTTCCCCCAGGTTCCAACTATGGCTCAGATCAAAATGAGTTACTTTTGATGCAGTTATAAATTTATGAAATTGTAATAATTGCAGATGGAAAAACAAAACAAGAAAAGTGGGTCATGCAAATTACCAGATACTCTGATAGCATAAAGCAATTTCTCTCACCAGGCATGATCAAGAACAAAATGTTCGGATGCTCTATCAAATGTTATTCAGATATCATCCATGTTTCCTATTTAGCCCAATTCAAAACAAGTTCCTTTTCATGCATTTATATACAAATTCAGTGAACTTTAGAAGAAAAGTAGGTCTCTTACTATTTATTACATATAAAATTAAGTCTAATTACTAGAGTGAATAAAAGATAATATATTTAATAAAGATTAACCATGATATTGCTTTAATATATTATTCTATAATAGTTTGCATGTAGATTTTTTGTGCAGTATTTTTTATTGATTTCACTCCAAGCAAGGCAGTAAAACTACTAAAACACAAGGGGTTATTAGGCGTGAAAGAATTAGAAACATTAATAATGCATGGGAACAAAAAGAGTAATCAGGAGGACAGCAGATAGCAATTGACATTGCATTTAAATTTTTGCAGATTGATGTTGGCTGGAAAGCATGGAGCCAGAAGGGAGTTCCACAAGTGAGAAGTGTAAGAAATGAAACTTAGCATAGAATTTACTAATGGTTAGCAAGCCTGTCTTGGTAGAACATTTATGACTGAATAGTGAGTTCGATCCTCACTGGGTGCCCCATACTTTCGGTTACATCTAAGCTACACTTGGAAAAAAAAAAAAAAATCACTAGAATTTACGGTTACATCTAGCCAGCTCAACTGTAAATTAATGAAAACTCAACACTAATTGAGTATTGCTCTTTAATTCAAAAAGTCTAGGTACCATAGCAAAGAACTCATCTGAACAATTAGCATGGAAGGATTTGTAGAAAAGAATTATAAATTTTCAAAGTGGAGTGGGGTGGGGTGGGGCGGGGCTTGGGGGATTGGTCTTATATGCAAATCAAATATAGATTTTCAAATAGAGTTGTTTAAAGATTGTTACTTTTCTAAAATAATAAAACTAAAGAAATTGATAAATTATCAGTTACTGTAAAAAAAAACAAACAAAAAAAACAAACAAAGAAAACAAAACCTACCCACCCACAAATTTCAACAGGCAATATCAAGAAAAAAAATTGGATGCTACATCAAATGTTATTAGATCATTATCCACTTTTCCAATATGGCCCAGTTTAAAACAAGGCTCCTTTTTGTGCAGTTATTACATATTTATGACATTCTAATATGGCAAGTATTATATGCCATCAAATATGATACTTATGAAGTAATCATTTTTTTTTTTTTTTAAAATGGAAATAATTTATCAGTACATACTTGTGATTAATAATTTATAACTAGAGTGTGACACCATAGACAATGCATACGGGAATCACAAGGTTTTAAAATTTAAATAGAGAGAGGGAGAGAGAGACAGCTGAATCTAGGATATCTGTACTAATTACTGAGCTTCAATTTCATGAAGCCAATTTACAGCAGTTGCCAATCTAAACAATTAGGCATATTAACAAGATCATTAATTACAAATTGTTTGTAAATGCCATGAATGCATCAGGATAAAGATTGTTATTAATTCATAGAAATAAAAGTTCATTCTAATGTATTTTCCATTGATTTTGAAAGTGTCTCGATCATATGCAACTATGTTAAATATCTCAAGAACTGGTTGTGTAGCCTTGATGTAACATACTCAATCAGGATCTTATAACATGTGTGAATACTCTATGAAGTTATTCAGTCGGAAGTGAGATGCCACTTAGCTTGTGCACAATTTTTTTTTTATTTTTTAAATAAGTTCACCCCCAAATAAGGCAATAAAGCCACTAACATGCAAGGGTGTTACTGAGTGTTAAGGATACAAGAGGGGGAAAAAAACGAAACACTATTAGAGAGAGGACAATAAAAGAACAATAATTAAGACAGATTTAAATTCTATGTTGACAAGGCATCTGCTCATTTTTCAAAACTAAAGTTTTTTTTTTTGGTAGGTAAAACATAGCATTACCCAGATATGAAGGCTTTTTTTGACAGTTCACGTAATACATTATCTACCTCCAGTATATGCACAGAGAGCACTTAGTATTTGATGAATTAGAGTGACAAAGTCATAAAAGGGTTGAAAAAAAAAAAAAAAAAAAAAAAAAGAAAAAAAAAAAAAAAGAAAAGAAAAAAAAGTGCTTTATGCTATTGAAATTGTTAAACAATTTTTCTTGCCAGTATAAACAAATAACTGATAGGTCATGTTAGTTCCAAAACTATTTTTATGATGGGCACTAAAACTTGGAATAAAGTTTTTTCATTTTTCTCTCAAAGTAGTTTTAACCAAGACACACAAAAAGAGAAAAGAAATTATATTACACTTGTATTATAGCTTTTAACCATTTTTCTTCATTAATTCCAAAGTAACCGATTCTGCAGAGTTGAGATTAGCAGAAAAAAATTCTTTAAGCAATTCTTCAAAATTCAAACCCTAAGAAAAGAAATCAAGGAAAGATCAAAAAACAAAACAAAAAAAATATTTTAAAACCTTTTACGAACCTTATGAGTCGTTTATGAAATTCTGCAATGGAATAGCTCCCACAATTTTGCATTCCTGGTTGGCTGCAAATAACAGTCTGGAAACCCCTAAAAAGAAAAGGAGAGAAAAAAAAAAAAAGTAGTGGCTGCACCAAAAATATTCTAAAGAAAAAAAAATGATAGGAAAATGAGGAACTGATAGAAAACTAGAAGAATTTAAAGACTAATGAATATTAAAGGCAAGGAAAAGAATCTAGGGTAAAAACAAGATCAACCGATTTGGAGCCAAAAAGATTTGTTAGGCAAGGGAGAAGATATCAAATTTACAAGATAATTTTAGTCAATAAAGGAGATGTAAAGAGATCTTCCTTAGTAACTAAAATTCTCTTGTAAGTTTGATATTATAGACTAGCAGGGATACTCACAAGTGACTGGAGAAAAAATAATACAGAAAAAAAATAATGTCATTTAACTTATTCTTATACAACATAAATGATATTATTTATACTATGAAAAATTAGCCATTATGAAAAATATTCATTATTTACATTATTTGGACTATTGTCCTCATCTTTGTCGTCATATTTATTACAACGTTTTGACCGTTGTACGCTCCAGCCTTCTTCAGGTGGTTGGAATGTCAAACTGAACCCTTTATTTCACTCACTGGGGTACAATGTTCTAGTTCCATGTTTAATGGATGTCAGTTATCAGTTATCTCCTGTTAATTCCCCTCTGAAAGTTTTCCACTTAACCATAACCGAGTATTGAACTCATACTCTTTGGGTCCTGTCACTGGATCTAATATTCAGATGCCCAAAACAAAACATATCCCTTAGTTTTATAAAACTTTGGGGTACACCCCATTTGTGCTTCTCACACTGTATGTCAATATGTAAAGATGGTTCAGATATCCAACCTTGGAACAAATTAAAAGTTTGCCATAGAAAAAGCATAGAAAAGACAGATTGAAGCTAGTCATGTTGTGCATTGTTTCACCTTAATGGTTGTCATGGCAAAGTTGAGTCTCTTTGGTAATTTAAAGCATTTCAATTCAAAGGGGGAAACCCAGTATAATTATAAGGATACTGGGAACAAACACATGCTCCATTTTTGCCTACTCCAGTTAGGATAATTGCCTTGATAACATGTGAGAGAAGCTGCATGGTAGCTAGTTACGTCCCATTGAAAACCTTCCAAGTGTCAATTTTCTGTGGAGCATGATTTGGGTAAGAACACCATACAAGCTCAAGAGACTTTAGGGAACTTAATTAGATTTTGAACTGCCTTGAAAATACCTGGAACTATGTCACTTGTATTGTAGGAAACATTTTTCAGTTTATTTTTTGGACAGAAATATTCTTAGAAGCAAGAATGTTTCACCACACAGAACCACTAGTAGTCTGTGAACTGGAGGGGGGGGATATAAAAATAACCAAAGTTTAATCTTGAATGTTTTAAACTTTGGGACTTTTTCTTTGGCCTTGTCATCTGAACAAACATATAGAAAGTTCAATAAAGGAATAGGGATTGAAATGTTTACAAACGACCAGGACTTAAACTTTATATACAAAAGTGAAGTGCAAAGTTTTACTGCAAAGACAGTAAAAATTTATATTAAAATTTTAGGTCTTTTTAGAATATTAAGAAAAATAGCTAAAGATTAAATCAATTTTTGATCTACATGTTTTCATGTTTGGTTCAATTTGTAATAAGTTATAATCTCTAATTGGTATTGATTCTCTCACACACACATCATGTAACCCTTGATATCACAAATACAAACATTCATTCACTAATTATTATTTATATAGCTATAACAAATATTGAAATCATATATAGAAAGTAAAAGCTGTCAATTTCTATAATACATTTAGCATGTGAATAGCTATAGCATATATAAAAATAACTGACAGTTAATACTTAGCCAAGTTTTGCAATTAAAAAACACTTATGGAAACTTAATTTTAGACACCTGCTTTAAAGGTATATTCTCCCTTTACGGAAGAATTTGTAAAGGGAGGAAACTCTTGGTGAATGTTTATCACACGGTTATGAATGGAATGAGAAGAAAAGCATTTAAAAGTGGAATTTTACCAGCACATCTTTTCTACTTAAAATTCAATTTAGCAAGTTCTGTCATTCAAATTGAATGTACACTGAAAATCAAGGAAAGTATTTTTAGTAGTTAGGAATTAATATAAGAATTATTGATAGGACAGGGATATCCTTGTGTAATGCTAACGGGACAGAGACATCCTCATGTAGCATTATGTTTGTGCTATAGAAACTGCACAATTTTCTTATAGAAATGGATTGAGAATCTGGAAGTAATAAGAAATTGTCAATGCTCATGATTATTGGAAATGAATGCTTGTGTCAGAGTGATTATAATTATTCCAGATAAGCAATAAAAATCTATGTGTAAGGAATTGAAGAAGTAGATAATCAATAGAGAAGAATATTGATACTCACTTTTCTCGAATAGCTTCAGCAAAGAAGTAATCTTCTGCCAGGTATTTGCCAAATGCTGACATGCCACCAGCCTGGTCAATCAGGTCTTTCCTCATCAGACATGACATCCCTGTAGTGCAATTGATTCCAATTGAGTTGGCACTCAGGTAAAGCCGTGACTGCTGGGTACCAAAAAACACCTGAAACAGAGATAAGAAAAAAAAAGTCATTAACAAAGCAGAAGGCTGAAATAGTATAGCAAAACAAATGAAGATCCTCAGTAAATGTATTTAAATTGTTGGAACCAAAGAAAATGATTAAAACCTGTTCAGGCATAAAATTAAACTTATTAGTCCAGAACACAATTACCATTATCAGTAATGACAAAAGACGACTACAAGATGAATTTTATATCACTTGTTGAAAGAATCCGAGATTTAATCTTCGCCCAAATTTTTCCCTTTCATTTTTGTCATTGCTCTCAAGGATTAAGCAAATATTGGCTTAACTACCATTTACCAGGTACACAGTCCTGGAGATAACTTGAATAAAACAGTCGAATCATGGAATTGATAAACACATGAGCAGGGCAGGTTGATTTTTCACTTTTTTTTTTTTAATTTATTTATTTATTTTTTTTATAAAAAAAATCAACATTGCATTCTGTGTGAAAGCTGAGATTTGATGTCCTAAGTACTGAGCAAATATTAGATTCATAACTTTTGCCAATTTTTGAGCATTTAGTTTTAAAGACTTTGAAAAAATGTTCAGAAATAACTAATTTCTGCAGGTTTTTGCTTACAAACTGACTTCAAAATTATATTATTCCAAGAATAATCCAAATAAAGTTAATCTTTTGTATTAGATACATTGGATTGAAAATATATTCAAAACCAGAATTCTAATTATGAATCACCACAAGCAAAGCATGTCATTTTTTTTTTTTTTTTTTTACTGTATTTGATTGGTAAAAACTGTAAAAATGTAAAAGATTACAAAGAAAAAGCTACTCAAGGAATAAGCTTTGTTAGATCATAATGAAAAAAAAAAAAAAAATTAATAAAAGTGTATATAACACCATAATACTGCACACATAAAGTTTTAAATTTGCATTGTTTATTGAAAATATCACTAAAACTACTGCACTGTTTAATATATTACATCATAATATTGCTATATTGTTCAAAATAAGTTCCCTTTGAAGTAAATGAGGGTCTTATATGACTGCACAATGTTTTTGTAATAATGTGTGTGAGCCTTACATCTTGTCCATATACATTTTGTAAAGCTTTAGTAAAATATGAATTTTATAAGGCTTTATAAAGGCTTCATTGATCACTGGAATGAAATTCCAATGCTATGATTTTGAACTTAATCTTTAAACTTGTTTCCTCTTAAAACGGTAATGATTTGAAAAGAAAAAAAAGTGTCATTATTTATCATGTCAAATCCCACCTTTCAAACTGAGTGCAATAATATGGTTCCCAAATCAACCTGCCCTAATGCACAATGCTGATAATTATGGTGACAAACAAGAATTTCAAAGAAAACCTGATAATAATTTTTCCTGTACTTTTGTCCTGTTCTCAATAATCCCTTGCATCTTAGTGGCTTTTATCATTTTGTTGTGGCGAAATGATTAAAAAAGAAAACCTGATAATGTCACCTATTATTGTGCTAGATTTGCCTTCAATAAGCAATTATATTCAATCTAATTACAATTAATGCTAGATAAAGGAACAATAGTTCAAATACCAGATGAGTGTCCACTTTTTACTGCTGCCTTTGGAAATTCTTGAATACACCCACCCCAAAACCCAGTTTTGCATAAATAACAGGGAACTTTGTTTAAAAAAAAAAAAAAAAAAAAAAAAAAAAAAAAAAAAAAAAAAAAAAAAAAAAAAAAGTCAATGAAACTGATTCCAAACCAAGGTGCAGATAGATTTAGTTTCTTCTAGTAGGTGAAGGTCAGATCTCTCTTCACTGCTGTACAATGTAATCTAAATCTAGCACAACCTGTCATATGTTACATAGAGAGCAGATGGACACTGCCACAATTATTCAGCATGACATACCAATAATCAAATCAATCATAGGTTGAATTAGATAAACAAAAGAAAAAATATGATGGTTGGTTTTGTAACCTTTTGCAAGCAATATATCAGTGAGATTGCCCAACAACAATAGAAGTATAAACACCAACTGAGTAAATGCCCACATGAAACAATGGAAGTCAGTTTTCAATATTAAGATTCTTAAAGAAGATTTGTTTTTACCATCAATCTTAGCTACTTCAACCTATCCTTTTCTTTCAAGGATTCTCTTGAGAAAATGGCTTATTTCTAGGCTGAGTAATTAAGAGGGAGGGGTATTGTAGTTTGCATGAAACAGCAACAATAATGTCTTCTGACAATTATATATATATATATATAAAAAAAAAAAAAAAAAAAAAAAAAAAAAAAAAAAAAAAAAAGAAAGAAAAATGTCAACTCAGAAATTTAAAAAAAAAAAAAAAAAAAATAGTGAAGAAAATATAATCTTAAGATTTAACCTTTTTAATTTTTGCATTGTGAGAAAAAGAAATATTAAAGTTGAATAAAAATTTAACTTACCTTTTCATAGACAGAAGCAAATCCCTTCCTGTTACAGCAGTAAGGCATTTGGTGTACCAAGCCTACTTTTTCAGTGAGGGCAGATACCATGTCTAATAATGTGTCTGGATTCACTGAAACAAATAGTGAACAAGAAAAAAATTTGTAACATTTAGCTTTGGAAAAGCCATTTCCTGCCTTACTGATATATCAAACATCCCCCCACCCACCCAAAGGAAAGGAAAAAAAAAAAAAAAAAAAAAAAAAAAAATATTAACAGGTAATATCAGTTGTTCTACAAGAAAGATTCATTTTATCTGTAATAAAGTGCTGAAAACCTCTCTGCTCAAACCACTTAAAATATGATCAAATAGCTGAATATTTTTTTAAATGATCTACAATCTAGTAATGATCTACAATCTGGTAACTGGAACAAGGAATGGCATGTTAATTTTAACGCCTATTCTGTCTCCCATCAGCATGGATGATGCTGACCTCCAGGAGAGTGACTTGTACTTTCTTGGCTGACACGAATGGAAAGATTATATTGAATTCATTGCAATGTCTGTTGCTAAGAAACTTGGCTGTGTCGTGCTAGACAATTTATCTTAACAGAATCTATCTTACATATTTATGAGTCTACCATTTGTCCATGCTTTGAATATTGCTGCCATATCTGGTCTAGTGCTACTATGTTATCAAAAAATTTGGATGTTATCAAAAATTCCAAATATATTATATATTTGGAATTTTTTGAAAACATTCAAAGAATCAGCAATATTATTGGTCCTAGTCTGGCATCTTGACTTCAGCCACTTTTTCACCTCTAAAGTAGCTTACTTGTGCCTTTTCTATAAATACTTTCATGGTAATCATTCAGATGCACTCTTTGCTATGGTGCCTAGAACTTGTGCAGTACTAGATTGGCAGCAAGGTCTCATCAATTTACAGATTTTCAGTGATACTGAACAAAACGATTTTTTAAGGGAGATAACTTAGATCCTAATTATATAGTATAATGAAGTTTTAAGGAAAATTGAAACAAAAAGAGGATGCTTAAAATTAGAAAGTTGAAATTTTTAGGGCCCATGAGGAAAGAGGGCTCGGAAAACCTGACACTCATAGAACATATTGAAGGTAAAAGAGAGAGATAGGGGAAAGTAGTGAATAACCTATCTAATGAGTTTGTGTAAAGATTAGGAGAGATAGCAAAAAGCCAAACCTTACTAAGAACAGAAAGTTGTAGAGAGCCCACACATTGAAAGGACATGGCACATAGAATTCAATTTTTTATCATTTCTATTTTCTCATGAATAGAATTTGTGTGTGCAAAAAAATAAATATAAAATAACTCCTGTTGTGCACATAATACACAGAAGATAGCATAATACATGAAATGTTCTCTAACAAGTTTTCAATTGTTTTATTACAAAAAAAGATTCTCAGTTTTATTGAGGTTATGATAGATTGTAAAATGTAATTTTGGGAAATCAAGTAGGTACACATATGAAGACAAGTGATTATTTTCTTTTTTAGTCACAGGAGAGAAAACTTGCTATGATAAAAGCTACTCAATGATAGCATATTTAATAGATGATGAAAGAATAGCTTAAAAACCTCCAAGGATAAAGCAGACAGTCCTAAAAAGGATTCAAGAATTATTTCTATTTTTTTTTTTTTTGTGTATCACCCCAAGCAAGGCAGTAATGCCACTAAAACACAAGGGAGTACAGGATTTGAAAGAATTATGAACAGAAACAATAATGGTGAGCAGAAAGAAAGAGTAATCAGGAGGACAGTATATAGTGATTGACATTGCATTTAAATTTTTGCAGATTTAAAGTTGGCTAGAATGTATAAAGTTGGGAGTTCCACAAGCGAGAAAAAGAAATTGTTAGCATAGAATTTATAGTTACATCTAGCCAGTCCAACTGTAAAATGATGAGATCTCAACGTCAGTCCGGAGTTGTGCTTAAATTCAAAAAGTCTAGGTACCATCCAAGCAATTACCCTATAGAAAACACAGAGTATGGCAACAGGAAAGTGACTAGATCTGAGCCACCATATCAGGACCAATAATATTGCTGATTCTTCTTTGGAACTTATCAAGGAGATCAAGGTAAATAGCAGGAGCATTGGACCATATATGACAGCAGAATTCTAAGCATGGACAAATGATAGACTTATAGAAAGATTTTGAAGAGAAAAATTGTCTCGCCTGACATAGTGAAGCTACTTTCTTAGCAGATGCATTTACACTACTGAAAAAGGTAAGAAAACATCCTATATATATATATATATATATATCACCATAGATGAAATATGCTTGCGTATCCATCAAATATATTGTGTCTAACATCACTGGATTTATTACCTAAAGTGTCCGCGACAAATATGGGTGAATTGCCCAACTGTATTTAGAGTGAAAGAAAGTTAAGTTATTTAATTATTCTTAGCTTGCAGACAAGTGGATTGTAATTTTCTAATTGAATTGTGTTCATAAAAATATATCAAGCTTAAATAGTGTGTGTGTGTGTGTGTGTGTGTGTGTATATACCCATATAATAAATGTGAATGTCAGTGTGTCACGCCTTTTCAATTTTACACCTAGAGGCCATAGCCCAACATAAACCACTTTGGAATCAGGCCGACTGCGAGCAAATTAAAAACATTCTGGGCTGGATCTGGACCCACAATCGTGAAATTTAGGATTCCCAAGTTTTCATTACTGTGATTGTTTTCAGGGATTTTGTTTTGTGACAAATTTTTTTTGTATGATAACAATTTTTATAACTTGGAAATAAATTTGGAAATAATCAAAATTAATTGCAAAATCCAGCGAAAGTGACTCATGAAATAAAAATAATTGTTTGTACAGAAAGTAAGAACCTATGTACATCAAATTGTCTTTAAATTAAGTGGTGGCAGAATTATCGTTAAATTTTAAATATTAATGTAATACTTAAATGTAATGATGAATTTTGAGTTCTGTAATTTATTGTTGCCTATCGCATCTACTCCTCCCTACCTATTGTGATGAAGGTGTAAATCAAGATCCCTCCATGACACAAGGTTGAAATTATGGAGCATCCAGTAGGGATTGAACTCATTACTCAGTCATAACTGATCTAATGAGACAATCCTGCTAACCACTACACCACAAAGTGCCCCATATATAATTTCTAAAGTAATGGATTTTTGATTTTTTAAAACACACACCTCACCTACATTAAAACACTTTGTCTAAGTTACAACACTCACTAGTTCTCTGAATCTCATCAATTGTCTCTATGATGATAGCTTAAGCTAAAAGCTTGGACAATATTTCTGGTACTTTTCTTCCAAAATTAACTTTGGATATTATCTGATGGAATTTCTGCATTGTTTGGAAAAGTTGATCATTAAAATTGGTCAACACAAAATGACTTGTTCTAAAATGTCTGTGTGTGCGTGTGCAAGCACAAATGTCACATACAATATAAACTGAGAATGTATTAGGTTGGTGCAAAAATAATGTCGTTTTTTGACATTAAGTTGAACGTTAAAAAAACGACATTATTTTTGCACCAACCTAATAAAAATAGTTACAATTTCCAAAAGAAGTCAAACACTCAAACCCCCAAAATAATCAGAAAAGTACTTACTTCTCATACCACTGTCGTTAATTGCTATGAGTTCATATTTTGCTGCCTCGTAAGCACGCACCATGTTGTTAATCTTCCCATTGGGACCCACATTTTTGGAACCTGGATAAGTTAATAGATAATTTGCAACAACAGCAAAAAAAAAATTTACAGAAACAATGATCCAAACTTAAATCTCAAAATACTAGAAGAAAAAAATTGAGGAAGAGAGAAAACAGTGAAAGATTCTAAAATCACTGAATATAAGGCAGGGCTGAAATTCTCTCAAATGTATTTTAACTTTAATGTTTAATACTTACAGTTCATTACAAAATATTTACTTGCAAACTGTTTTCCTAAGTAAATTGAAAATATCCTTACTACAAAATTACATTTGCTCTTATGTGAAATTTATCTGAATGTAAATGAAATTGAAAAACATTTTCTTCACCTCCCACTAAATATTAAGTCATTTTGTACAGTAACAAAAAGTATAAACACAGAAAATTGATCAGTATAATAGTGCCATTAATTAAATAGAATGAATTTAAAATTACATAATAAATATTTCATTTTATCTTTTCTAGAATAGAAATAAAATTACGAATTGTTAATTCATACACAGGTAAGTTAATAGATATATTTTCACTTACCTGTGTATGCACGCTAACGCACGTATATACAGTTGCTAATAACTAGTTATTTGATTTATATATATATATATATATATATATATATATACACACACACGTATCTATGTATGTATGTGATTCTATTACACACCTTTTTATGCAAATTTGAAATAATTTCAAATAAGCTGGTATCATATCCTTTTTTCGTATAAGAAATCTGGATTTTTTTTTTGTTTAATTTCCATTCAAGATTTTCATAATTTTAACTTTAAGTTATTTGGTCTTAAACCTTGTGATTCTAAATAAGTCTCAAAACTTCCATAAATGTTGATACAACAGAATTAAAATTATTTTTGGGTGTAAGTGAGTTATGAAAAAGGTCTAAGTTCGAATAAAAAATGTTCAAATGGAAGTTTGAAGATTGGGGAATAATAACTCACCAATGAATAACTTGCTGTCATGTTTGGGATATTTAGCAAGGAGACTTTTTACGACAAATATGGCTGGATCCTGATCATGTGCTACACAGAAGAGAAGTTCATACTGCAAAGAAAGTCGAAATAGATAAGAAAATCTCAAATGTTTTCTAGATTTTAATTTTGCTGAAGTGCTAAAAAGCAAAAAAAAATGTATACAAATAGGATTTTCAGCAAATTCATGCAGGTTAACTATGGATAATATTGTTTTGCTTCTCACTTAGTCTTCAAGATAAAAACCTTGGTTCATTTTGGTTACTCCCCATATTCCTCACTCAGACTATTTGAATCAAAGAACTTTCCAAACAGTTTGGATATTGGCTTTTATCACCTGCAGAAAGAAATAACCAAGATTAAGGTCTTACTTTAAACTGTTCAAAATTTGTCCAGTTTTAGAAAAGAATGAGAGTAGCATATAATTTTTCATTTTTGTAATGGCAGCAAATGTTAGACAAAGTTAAAGAAGAGACTTGAAGCAACAGAAATGTGATTTTACAGAAAGATGCTGAGTATACCATAGACAAACATGTGAGCAACGAGGTTTTGGAGAAAATGGAAACAAAAAGAAAAACTTATACTTAACATCAGAAAGAGGCAGTTGATTCCTTTTTGTTTTAGTTGTCTCTAAAACTTTGTTTCTCTTGGCATTATTTCTTATATTTCTGGGGGAATGTGATAAGGAAGGAGGGCTTGGAAAATCTGATACTCACAGGATAGATGGAGGGAAGGAGGAAGAGAGGAAAGCAGCACGTAATGTACTTGATGAGCAAATGGATGGTAAAACAAGGTTTGGGAGAAATAACAAAATGAGAAAACTTACTAAGAGCTACAAGCAACAAAGATGTGGAGGGCCATGATCACCTAATATATTAAAATAAAAAAATGGGTGTGTGGATTTGCTAAAAAGAGAAATCTATTTTTAACAATATTTACAAGTATTCACTAAAATATGTCATGTCCTGTTTGAAGGGTTTTTTTTGTTTTTTTTTCACTGCTAAGAGCACGATATATTATTTTAACTAAGCAACTCTCATTAATGACGTCTTTGCTTGGGATTGTCACTTTAAATACATAGCAGCAGCAGAAAATCTTGGCTCTTTCATTCATGAGTGAACTTTTGCGGACATTCATACAACACTTTTAGTAAAGAGAGAAATGAAGCATTTGTTGATATAAATTCACCTCGTTAATTTCTTATTCTTCTATGTGCTGTGACCCTTCAAGACATGGGCGATCATGGCTCTCCAGAATTTTCTTTCCTTCATAGCTCTGAAAAAATTGTTTTTTTGTCATTTCTCCTAAACCTTGTTCCACCATCCATTTACTCAAGCTCACTGTGTAGATTTGTGCATTGTTTTCTTTTGTCCCCTCAATCTGTCCTGTGACTATCAGCTTTTCCAAGCCCTCTTTCCCTATTATGTGCCCTAGAAATTTCAACTGTCTTTTCCTGATATGTATAAGATTCCTTTTTGTTTTAATTGTCTCTAAAACTTTGTTTCTCTTGGAATTATTTATATATAGGCTTGATTAGAACTTTATACTCAATCAAAGAGTGTTTTACTATGGATCAATGGTTGTAAGTTGATTTCTTCTAAAAACCATTGTTAATGACTTTAATGCTCACTGGGTGACCCAACCATTACAAACCTGTGCCAGGCTGATGAGCTAAGTAAATAAATCTCAAACAGCAGAGATGGCTAATAAATAAATTGGCTAGAACAATGAACTTAGTTCATATTGGGTGCTTTAGTTTTTTTTGTGTTTTGTTTTTTTTTTTTTTAACTTAAAAAAATATTCTTAAAATAAAAAAATTTTTTTTCTGGTTTTAAATAACCTACAAGTGGTTGATGACCCATAGAAAATGAATCAAGCAACATCTACACTTCTAGATTGAGCCTTTTATCTGTTCATTCTCAGGTCAATCTATATCTAATCAGAATAGACTCCTTGTGACCTAGAAATTAACTTTTCACAACCCATCCCCAATTGTCGACATCCTAAAATAGAATATGAGGCTCACAAATTTTCTTCATAAAGATCTGCCTCAATTCTTCCAAGGTTGCAAAAATTGTCAGGTTTACTGGCATTACAGAATAAATTACATTCCATAAGACATGCAAGAAACTAGCAATCTGAAGAAGTGCTCTTAAAAGATACAAAAAATGGCACTGAGATTATATTCAAGCAAAGGAAAATGCTGGCAAGAAACTTGGAAATTAAAGTAATTCTACAAGGAAAATTGCAAGTTTATTATCGCTTCTAGCCTGAACACATCTTGAAAAGTAGGGAGAGTAAAAGATGGTTGACCTATATAAAAAAGAAAAGTAAATTATCATTGAGTGAAGTACTATACTTGGTCAGAAGAGTAATCAAATGAAAGTGTCTTCCAATCAGAATTAAAAGGTGCCAACAAAGAATGGCACCCATTATACATTTCTTTTAAAAAAATATTCATTTTCTGCTTTCTCCAGCAATAAAATTGAAATTCTTTGTTGCTGATTGATTTGTTTTTTTATGACTTAACCATGTGCAGGTTATTTAAAGCCAGAAAATATTCAGGTTGTAAGAGATTTTTTTTGGAAATAACGATTTACTGATACAAGCCCTACTAATTAACCTATAGCTGGGGTGTGGAGAGAAGGTGAATGCAAATCTTTACCAAGAGTATTTTCATGTAAAAGAATATAATGAACCGGACTGGAATTGCAACTCTGATCTCTATTACACTACAGTGAGAGGGAAGGGGTAGAGAGAGAGAGAGAGAAACGAAGGGGAAAAAAAAAGGGGGGGGGATCTCAAAGCCCATATTTACTAAATTCATTTTTGTATCCAGAAATATAAATGAAACAATTTCAAAGGAATTAATGAATTTTTTTGAAAGAATAAAGAAAATAGTTTATTCAAACCTGTGTATCCATTAAAAATAACATTTTAAGAAATGATATTAGATTATAAATAAAAATCCATCCTTACAAATTATATATGGTTGATACAAAATATCTAAAAATATGTAAAATGAATGTATTTAATTAGTGTATACAAAATGCATATATTTGCTTGTATGTATGTTTAAATAACTGTTAGACAAACATTAGGCTGCCACCCAAATTTCAGAGAACCTTAACGTATCGGTCAATAGTTTATCTGTAAAGTTACTTAGTTTTTTTTTCAGTGTCTTGTTGCATTTTTTAAACCAATACATCAGGAAATAAAGAACCTTCTCTATTCATTTCTTTGGGTCCCTGAAATTTTGAGTAGCATCTCATGTTTTACACTTAAAAAGATTAATTTTTATTGAAAACTATCTGACTAAAAAACTACTCAATGATCAGGATTTTTTTGATATGACATTTAAAACAAATACACAAAAATGTTTTTGCCTATTGATAATAAAAAAAAGGCATAAGGAAATGAACATCAACAAAATACAGATTTAGAAACAAAGGGGAAAAAAAGAGAGAAAAGTTGAATCAAAACTGTTGAAAACAAATGAATGCTTGGCCAAGAATAGCCAGACAATCCTTTTGGTTGATGATAATGATCAAAATAACCAAAGAGAAAGAGGTTGTTATGTCATAAGGTTGAAAGAGTGTTACCATAGTTACTTTACAAAAAGATCTTTGGATGGTCAGGCAATAAGAGAATAAAGCATTAGTCAGTCATTAACATCTGGGTGTGGCTTAATGGTAGATGTAGGAAGCAAAAATATGAGATTCTCTCAAGAGTTTCAAATTGGTGAAACTTAGGTTATCAATTAAGCCAACTCCCAAACCCAATCATATATAGTAACCTGGCACTAGTGAACATTTGTTTTGGTTTGAAGAAAAAAAGTGAGTCTTTATTTGTATACTTACAGCAGGGTAGTCCAGCTTGAAGAAAGTTTCTAAGTTACTGTAAAGGTTAGGGTCAACACCTGTTAAAGGCTTTATGATGGAGACACCTCGCAAATCTTCAGCAGAAGGGACAGGATTTGGTCGATGTAGTCGATATTTCCTGTAAAGATAAAGGAAAAAAATAAAAAAGGTGTTATATTGTTTATCTTCATTTTAGAGATAAAAATATTAGCAACAAGAATTTTTGTCACCTCTAGGTAGAAAATGGATACATTCAACCAAAAGTAGATTAGGTTGTCAAATACTGATGGGTATAAAATAGTTGATTGATTAACTTTTTGTACAAGAAAACTGTCCTTATCTGATGATGATAGTAGTAGTAGTAATAATAATAATAATAATAATAATAATAATAATAATAATAATAATAGGGAAAAAGTTACACCCATAGCAGTACAAAAATGATTGCAAATATAGAGGTTATTCAAGAATAAATTCATAACAATTCTTCTTATTTTCAACTACCAAGTATTTGTAACCAATAACTCTGAGTAACAAAGATAAAATATCAGGCACATCCTAAAAAGACAGCATTTAACAATTACGTGGCAGATATGTCAGTGTTTCCTAATAGCAGACTTCAAGATTTAGATTTTTCTATACTAATCCACAAGATGGACAATCTGTGAAAGGAAAAAGGAACTAGATGAGATACCAAATTTGCATGAATGAATCAGCAAACAACTTTAAAATTGAAACAATACAATCTAATGGACTGATGATGAAAAGGCATTAGATGAAAAGACAAATGTTCAACAAATGTGCTTATTGGAAAATGAAGGCAATATACAGGTTGTGATGGATGAATTGTTTAAATTATACAAAAATGAAAAAACAGTGACATCTCATTTTAACATTTACAAAATTACACAAAAATATTTTGAAAAACTAAAGAGTAAATTCATTCAATAAAATCGCCATTGACTTCAACCACTGCCTCCAGACAACTTGAGAATCTCCTGCATCTCTTCTGTATGGTCTCCTTGTTTAAATTGGTGAATGTTGCCATAATCCTTGCCTTCAGTTCATCTTTGATTTTACAAGAAGTTTTGTTGTCTCTTGCTCAACTGTGTTGCATACATAATAATCAAGGGGTTTGCAGCTTAGGGAGTTCGGTGGCCAAATGTAAGATGTGATGTGGTTGCAGAAATTGCCTGACAGCCATGACTGGGTTCTCTTTCTGTGGCATGGTGCAGAGTCCTGTTGCCAGACATAAGGTTTTCCAACAGCTACCCTCTTGAACCAGAACAGCACTACCTCCTCAAGGCACTTGATGTAGGTCTGCATGTTGAGTGAGGCCCTATGGGAAGATGAATGGAGGCATAATGCCACCATCGCTAGTGATCACTCTAAACACCTTTGTAATCACCATTAGACTCATCCAACTCTTTGCTCTTTTTCACCCAACTGTGTAGTCGACCAAAAACATGCACAAAATTAAAAATATAAAATGGTGAAAATTTATCTATTGCACCCTGTAAATGACAGATTTTACTGGAGAAAGTAGTTATAGAAAATATTAGTTTGAGTCATAAATAATTTCTGTTATTGTTTATCAAATTTATTCTTAAAATCAAAGTACCATTACTTTTTATTCAATTATATATATTCACCATTAATTTGCAATGATTTGGTACCATTTATCAAGCAGTTATCTTTTTAGTAAACAGCATACAAGACTTGTATTGTTTCAGGTGAACAAGTAAAATGACAACACATACTTATTTAAGTGAATTTGAAAAAAGACCATATAGCTTTAAATTTAATTACAATTTGTACTAGTTTTTAAATTACTTGATGGAACCAATTTAAAAAACAAAGACAGTCCTCACAAGTATTGAGGATAATGAAGAAACAACTTTATTCAAACAAATGTTTGTATCATTAGAGTGATACGGAAAAAAGAGACACTGAAATAAAGTAGAAAACAAGATTTTTGCTACTAAAAAATAAAATCTGAATAAAAAGTAGAGAACGAGAGAAAGAAAAAAAAGTTATTGTGAAAATCAGAGCTTTTTTTTTTTTTTCTAAATTTACCATACTATGAACATAAATGTAGTTTTTACTTTGCAGTATGCCTGCTATATCCACTGTCATTGCTTCAAAACTTTGTATATTCTGACAGTAAAATGTAAAATTCCTGAGCTGGAACTTGACAGAATCATTATTTTGCATAAATTTGTAACGCACAGCAAAGTCAGTCACTTATGTGCAAGTGACTACAACCTATATTACTGCAACATGTCATTCTATAAATAACATGGAATATTTTCCACTACTGTTCCCAGTACTGTGCAAGCACCATAACCTAATTCATGATATTAACCTAGTCAAACTGGTCATTGCAGGGCAAATACTCACATGTGATATTAGCATATAAATAATGTGGCACACACCATCGAGCGTAGTAAAAATAAAAGTTGTTTGTTTAGTAATTAAATTAAATTTTTAAATACTGGTTTGATTATCTTTCATGAATAAATGAAAAGCTAGAAAACCTGGTGAGTGCATACTTTCGGCAAAATACAGAGCTGAAGAGCCAGCTTTCCATGATGATTTTTATCATGATGGCAATAGATTATTTTGCAGTTTGGACTCAGAGGGACACGTTTGTGCATCATCAGAAATCACTGAAGTACAAAAAATAAAGATGCCTATATAAGTAGGCTATATATTTGTATATTTTACTGTTTACACACAAGTCTCTGTTTATCATGTGTTTTTATGATTTTGGAACAAAAACGGAAAATCAAAATTTACCGTCACGGAAGAACACAGAATTTGACAATTTAGGACACCAAGAACTTGCCATTCTACATTAAAGAAAATTTTCAAAAATAGACTGTCATCAAAAACTTGTGATCAGCCAGACATTGAAACGGAATCTGATATTGTCAAAGAATACACATTATGACAGTCCCAATTGGTGATGTTATAAAAGATTGTATGGATTAAGAAATCAACTAAAAAAGTGGCAATTGCACATGCTGTACTTACTTATTTAAAAAGATCATTAAGCTATAGGAACAAAGCATAGCAATTAACAAATCCTTGTTGATTTGGTGTTTATCCGCCCAAATGCAAAATATGTCAATCAATATTTCACTTTGCTTGTAACTGTCCAAGTTCACGTCAGAATTTGGAGATTAAAAAACAAAAACAAAGTGGGTAAAACATTATTTAGCCCAAATAGAACTGCAAACATTGAATCAATGAATACTGCATGTAAGCCAAACACTCTTACCAAGCTATTAACCATGTCTTCTTGGCCACAATAGCCATCTGAATAGGGTGATATGGACTTATACTCTTTTTCATTTGTGAAATTAGTTTTATAGGGTTTGTTTGGCCAGATAAAACTCATATAATCAAACAAAGAATGACTTATCATTGAACAGTTGCAAACTGAATTTTATTCAGTCACAATTTAGGATTGGGCAAGACTGATTGATGGATGGATGGATGGATGGATTTGTTTTTAAGGCTTATCATCCTTTTGTGGGTCATTCAAAACCGAAACATTGTAAGAATTTTTATTTTTGGCAAGTGAATACTGCATTAACAATTTTTTTGCTAATGTTGGTTCCAATTCTAATAGCAATGATTGCAAAATACTCCCCACTCCCCAATTTATAGGCAAAAGAATACAAATGCATGCTGGGATTTCTTCCTAGCCAATAAGATATTCTGGTCTTGAAGTCAGAACGCTACGTTTGATTATTTGAATTTTCAATTGTGTGTCGACCTGAATACTTAGTTTGTAAACTTTTTTCTATATTACTGTTAATTTGCCTTACATATATTGTTTATTCATTTTATTATTTTTTGCCCTGTTTTCTTTTTATTGTAAACTTTGTCAATTCTGTTTGTTGGGCAGTTCTGTCATTTGTTTACATTTAACTATGGCCATTCACTATACAGGAAATACTGATTTTTCTAGATACAAATTCTACTATTTAAAGTCATAGCTGGGGAAGAGATGGATCTTTACCTTTCCTAAAGTTACTTGTGCATACATGATTGTAATGAATAATGAACCAACTGGAATTCAAACTCTGCTCTCCAATTTCCAAATAAGATTTTTTTTTTTTTTTTTTATTAATTTGTGAGAATTTGAAGGAGGTCTATATCCTGATAGCCATACACAGTGTAAGGAAAAATTGCTGCACAAGTTCAGAGAATTTGCTTTAACACTAGGAATTTAATGTCAAAATGTCCCTAGGGGGAGGCAGGTAGAATTTGCACAAAATTCAGTCCCAACTGAATTAATTTCAGAAAATCAGGTCTCTTTCAAAGTTTTGGGGGATTAGAATTGGGATCAAGACCATAGAATTAGACTGAAGACAGGGATTAGAACTGTGGCCACAATAAATAATATGAAAGGAATGATCATGGTTTTGATATTTTCAATTCTAGTTGTTCTGTGCCCTTTTTTCAATTATTTGGTAATTACTTATTGCCAGGGCTCGTACTTAAATACATATGTACAGTCTTGCTCACATCAAAAAGTCAGTTCTCCCTCAGAAACAAAGCAACGTATGGTATTACTACATATAATACTTTTACGAGCCAGTTTGCATCAACAGAAAATTTATCAAAGTTATGATTACCAGCTGAAATTTCCAAATCTTTAAATTCTTGGAGTTTTGTCAGTTTTGCTCCAAGTTAAAACCAAATAAATTTCAATTCTGCACTCAAGTGATTCTCAGAGGTGTCCTAGAACTGCTTTAATCCTCCCACCCCACATCAATTAGTCTTCCTAGTTAAATTTATCTCATCATTTTTCTTGTTCAAAACAACATCTTAAGATTCTGTCTGTATCTATAGAAACAGTAGTTCGTTCATAATTTAACTAGCTATCTGGATAATTTGACTAAACAGCTCAATCAAGCTAAAAGATCTGAAAGTAATTAAACTTTAAAATTTGTAAGTTTGAAATCAATTAAGAATGTAACATTTCCATGAGAAATTGCAAGTGTTAAATATAATTTCTGATGTGGTTGACAGTGACGTCACTTTTATTAAGCAATAATCCATGAAAAAAGCAAAAGGAATCCTAGATTTGAAAAATGATAAAACATCAATTTTCAGCCAGACCAACTTATAGAATATTACACGAGGTCATTATTGTATAGATGAAATATTAAATGAAATACCAGCATAAGTTATTAAGCTACAAGGGGAAAATATAGATTAACAAAACATGTTATTTGCAAATAACTACATCAACGACTTGCTCTCCTGTGTGGTCACCAGCTCAAGAGTTTGTAAGATATGTATGATGTTGAGGCAATTATGTAAAGAGAAACAAGAAACACCAACCAGAGGGCCAACCCAGTAACATGTATTATTTTTGTTATAAGATTTAAGTCATTACAACAGATTTTAAAGAATAGAAACAAAAAATTTCTACATTTGAGATATTCTTCATCCAGGCTAGCAGCTGTCATATATGACAATAAAAAAAAAAAAAAAAAAAAAAAAAAAGAAGCGGCATTTGACAAGGTCATGACCCTGTAGATTGAAATTTAAATGTTTCTGTACAAAAACCACCAACAGTGAATTTGCAAACATAGTTTTTTTTTTTATTTAAATGTTATTTTTAGTGGATATCCATATCTGAATAGATGCTCCATTTGTTTATTAAACAGTATATTTATTTTCATCTACTGGTCTGAATATTCAAGAAATCTTATTAAAGGAAAATATGTACTATCTGGCAGGATTCAGACATATCTGTGTCATCAGATTAATAAATAAAAATCTATCATTTCTTTAGAAATTGTTGTATGTTAGAATATGAAACTGAGCATGTTTTAAGAGTCTGAGAAATATTTGCATTTATAAGGTACTATTCAACTTTGCTTGATCAATGATGCAATCTGTTGCCAAGTCAATCTAAAGCATACCTGATCTAATGACAGTTTCTCCTGCCAAGGGGGATGCAGATTTGAATTCTGATGAAGAGCACATTTTTATTTAATAAGGTTTCTCAAATATTCAGTCTGGTTGATGAAAATAAATATACTGTAAATAAATGGAGAGAGTACTCAAATATGGATATCCACTAAAAATAACACGTAATGCATTCTGTGGGATTAATAAAAATTCATCATTTCTTTAGAAACGGAATACGGTATTTACTCATTCCCTCCACTAGGACGAGATGTGGTAAGGTCTTTTTTTTAGGTGGAGACCCAAGTGCATACACAAAAATGGCCCACAGCCCCCACAACTGTTGGTTGCGCTGGCCTCGGTGCAAGCACCGATCCCTCTCTCTGGTGCAATGAGAGAGCACAGCCTCAAGCAGCTGTTCCCCAGGGCTGGGCAACTCCCATTATAATTTTCCTCAGTTGCCCCTCTGTCCTTTGACAGAGTAGCCCTTGAGTGCACTCTGCCCAAAACAGAGACGCAACTGAGAGATGATAAGCAGACCAAGGAGGAATTTACACACTGAAACAGAATAGAAACAGAATACTATAACATGACAGAAAATCTGAATATTGATGTAGGGAATATTGCCAGATTTAGTGCAAGAAATCATGCAGCTTAAGTTGACCATATATAGAAAATTCTTGCTGACCACAAAAAAACTGATCTGGAAATTGCTCATGTCAGGATGCTAATGAGAAAGACATTAGCAAACTCTACATGAATGTTCACTACATCAATTAGTATTTGTAAGGAATTCAAAACTATCATTCATGTTAATCAACAAACCTCCAGCTCTCCATGGCACAATAAGTGAAGTAAACATCTGAATACTCTTCATGCCAGTAGGAAAACATTTATTCTGGTTGAATATTATGTAAGATTAAGGAAAGCATGACTAACATTAAATAAGAGTGATTCTATACAGCAAACAGAGGATATTGTACATTATGAACAAGAAAAATAGAAAGGTCCAGAAAAGGTTATGGGATAAAATGTAAAAATTGTGCTTGTCAGCTATGGTAGTATTTGTGTGTGATTACTGATGCTATTTGAAGTGGGACAAGAATCCAAATGCAAAATTTGGAAACTGTTCAAATAGAACATCAGATGTTAAAAATTAATCATCATCGTAATGACTGAAATCAATGACACATCATCCAGTAAACAAAAACTGTCTACTACAGATTGTGTTAAAATCAAAAGTACAAAATAACACTGATGAAATAATACAAAACAAATGTCAAAAGTAACTAACTTTCCAAAACTTTAATGACTGTGTGCAAAATAGTTTCATTTGAATTGAAGAAGTTATCAGTTGGATAGTAAGGCAACTAGTAAAAATCATGTAAGATTTGTTTGTGTGTTCAGCAGCATATCAACTCCTTATGAGTCATTTAATGCAGAAATTTAATTTTCTTTGGAGCATTAGTAATTTCTTTGACAAATGCATTGCTGGTATTTTTACTATAAAATTTTGTATACTTTCATGGTGTTTGACCCCAGTTTGTGAGTTAGCTATTTACCCATAGATGGGACACCAATAGGTGCTACAACCCTGGGTACAGCAGCAATAAAGAGGTAGTTCCATGCACATAGAAACCTCCTGATCAGAGGACTTGTTGCCAGATATAGTTTGTAATATCAAGGACAGCCATTAACATAAGTCTATATAAACCATAAACTTTGAACCACAGATTAATGGAGTATATTAAAAGCATTTAAAATAGACTGAAAAGGTAATAAAACTTCAAGTGAACAAACTGAACATCATATTCATACCAAAGTGAAGATGTTTACACAAACTTACTGAACTAGAAAAAAAAAACAAAAAAAAACAACAACTTTATAAAAGTATTATATAGGCAGCCAACCAGGTGGGCTGTAACAGAAAAGACAAAATAATTAGAACACAGAAATTAAAGCAAGTTCAATGGTGCAAGGACTTGAGAAGGAAAATGTACAGTATGATGTTTCTCTTACTATTAGGGAAGAAATTTTTTTTTTTTTTTTTTTCACTATTTAAATTCGGATTATTGTCCTCATCGTTATTACATTTCAGTTGTTGAACCTTCCAGACTTCCTCAGGTGTATATTGATCTGGGTAACCTACAGGGAATTCAGAACAGAACCCTTTATTTAATCTATGGGGGTAGACTGTTCCCATTCCATTGCTCATGTGTAGGGGATATTGTCTAGTTTTTATTTATTTATAGTTCAATAACTGCAACCTGTTCCTACTGAGCAAGTACACACTACCTGACCTAAAGATTGCACTGACAACTATTAGTTCACCAAATTCATATAAAATTTGATAATGATAACTACTCATCCCAGAAGTTCACACAGAA